CCAACCATTGATCAATTGCTCAATAACGTGAGCTCTATAAATGTCGGATGTGTTGTTCATTTGTCGGCAGCAGAAATGCGCTTCACTTTTGCACTTTCCCTCATTCTCCTACTCGCAACTCAGGTTCGCCATACTGTAGCTGCTGTATTGCTTTTTGAAGATCAGAGCATTTCATCGTGCGATGATTCACATTCATCCTACTTTTCAGAGTAGCGCATGGGGCTTCTGGCCATTCAGCTCGGACGAGGACTCATTCCATCCTGTTTCCCATGTGAGTTCTTAAGCTTACCGGCTGATCATTCTGAATCCCCATTGCCAGTCTCACGTTGGGATGTGCCCATCTCGTCCATTTTTATTTAAATTTATTGACTTTCATATGACTTTTCGACTTGTATGATGACTGTGTAGGACAACCGATGTCCAAGTTAAGGCTTTCATCCTACTAGACAGACCCTATACCTGAACTGACAACAGAACTTGCTCAGTTTGCTTGAGAGGGGTCCCTCGACCTACCCCACCTGCACCCTGTGTGAACTTCACTATGCTTGTGGGGGCCAGTCCCATTCTGTGAGGTGCCCATCATTTACAAGGGGCCAGTCTCTTAGGCTATCTGTCAGAAAAGGTAACCCCATAATCATAGAACTTCTGAGCAATAGAACCAAAATTCTGTGAAATTGCTCTTTAATTAATTTTTCTGCGATCCAGAGCGAAATAAAGAGCACGACTGGAAGACCCAGAAATCCATTCCGGATTCTATGGTGCTGATTCCCTCTGCTCAGTGCTCTGTGTTTCTTACTTATGCGCAGGGAGCCATTACCATTGCATAACTGTGACGAAAGAGGCTTATGACCTATAAACCTCTACTACTATGCCCTTAATACTTTTTCAGGGCGGAATATTCGGCTGGCTGTCAAACATATGGGATGAGTTTGAAAATATTTTCAAGCCATTTCGAAGTTCTGGCGTTATCGTCAATACTGGTGACGGAGTCACGAATGTTTCGGCTGTGATCGGCGGCAAACGGTACAATGCCACGTTCCCAGGAGTGGATTCAATTTCTTCCTCATCGCGTATCGTGAATATTGACGGAAACTCTACGGAAGTGTTCAACATCACAGTCAACGGTACTACTTATTATACTTATGAGACTGTTGACGGCAAAACAACCTTTTCCAAAAATGGACAAGAAGACAGCAATGATCCATTTCATGTCATTTCACATGAAGCCACATCATCAAATCCTCTGACCGATTCCATCGGTGTATAAATACGTACTATGATGAGATGTAACCTACGCAGTAAAGCGATTTTTCGAACGTTTTCACGACTTCAAATAAATTCTTCACCGAACTCGCATCAAACAGAATCAATGAAGCCCCAAAAGCCTTAAAAAGCTAGAATGAATCGGTTCCAGACATCGATACCGAAAGTGGGATCTCATGTATGTTAGTGACTAGGTAAGCATAAAAGTATGTAGGATTGTGGGAGATAGTCCCACAAGGTTAGCGATTTATGGCCAAAACTTCGGTCTCGGACGGGACTCGTACCCGTACTTTCGCTTTCCGGGTATATGCAGGATTGTGGAAGATAGGGCCCAACCCATTCTTGCCGCAGCTCTTGTTGATACCTTCTTCCTCTACTACTCCCGGTTACGGCTTGTCCGCAATAGTCTTCTTTTCTGGCAATATACTAGATCCAAATCCTGTCGTTCTGCTGTGTTGAAGTCCCAGGGGTAGAGAAACTTTACGGAGCTCTTCGAAGTCGCCGGAGCTTCTATGATATTGCAGTATTTTTCGGGGCCTGTGGCGCCTCCATGTTGCTCAAAAATGGGAAAAACAAAGGCCAAAATGTGGACAAGTAATGTGGAACGAAAGGTCTAGAAGAACAAGTTTACATTTTAAACAGTAGATAAATAACAGAAAATAAATTCTTTATTGTCGTGAAGTTGAGGCG